AGCAGATCGCTTTTTTGATATTCTTTGGTAGTGTGGATGCTCTCTTTTGGAATAATTTTTTTCAGAAGATCTCTTCTGGAAAAGCTTCTTCTGAAAGAAGTCTGCAGTCTAAACGTAGCCTGAAGAAGTGAGTTATAGTTCATGCAATCTTTTGCTCCAATACTCTAATAAACACGTTAGTCTTTAAAGTGCCACCAGACTCCTCATTGTTTTTGCTGAAACAGACTAATGTGGCTACCTCTCTGAAACCATTCATGGCTTGGAAATTCTTCTAATGCTTTTTTGTTATAATTTTATAAAAGCCATTTGTCCTAGAAATTGTATTTAAAAGTTCTTGAGAAGATGAAGGGCATTGTATTAATTTTGAAACTGGAGAAGAATCTTTGGGAAGGAGCTCACTGGCAAATTAAAAATGACAGAATGGTCCATCGTGTTCCAGTGGACTTGAAAAGTGTAACAAATGATAGGTGGAGACCTAAATTTCAGTAATCACTATTAAAAAATTGCAATGTTGGCCCTACTGAAGTTAGTGGCAAATCTCCTGTGGATGTTGGTGAGGGTAGGATTTCACAGTAAGGTTCTAGCCTTTTTTCTCCAGATAGGTAAAGCCTTCAGAATGTAAACTGACCACAAGGAAGTTTGCCACAATGGTTCATGAGGAAAAGTTAAGATAAATCACATCTTGCTCCATAATCCGAACCATCTTTACCAGCTGTGGTGTTGTCTAGCGCAACCTGGTAGGGCAGAGTGAATAGTATAAGCATTTGTCAGCAAATCGTTGGTTAATTTTATTAATTTATTCACTTGGCAATGTCATAAGAACACAAGAATGGCCATATCGCGTCAGAACTATGATCCATCTAGCCCAGTATCCTGTCTTCCTACAGCAGTCAGTACCAGACATGTCAGAGGGAATAAATAGAATAGGGTGATTGGTGAGTGACCCATCCTTTGCTGTCTAGTCCCAGCTTCTGGCAGTTAGAGGGTCAGAGATACGTGGAGCAAGGGGTTGAATTCCTGACCATCTTGGCTAATGTCAGAGTTATATTCTAAGATGCAGGAAAGCATGAATGCTTTTGTGTGTTTCTTTTCTGATAGAGTCTTCAAAGCCTCTCCCTTGCAAGGGCAGTTGGTGGTATGAGTTCATATTTTCTACATGTTTTCAAGCTGTGTTTGACTGCAGTGGAGAGAAAATTGTAGCAGGACCAGTCCTGCTTTAACTTATTCTGAAGGTATGAAGTCCCTTTAAGTATGTGCTCAAGTTCCATCAAAGTCAGAATAAACCACCCAGATTATGACATTAGGGCATTACATGAAAAGAGCACAGCTCTGTTTTGTGATGAAGCACAGATCAGACACATAAAACCAATGTTCCAAGAAGCAAAATTTCAATATTCTGCAAACTGTACAAGTGCAGTAGTGTTTCCAAATGGATGATGTCAGGAGGCTATGGCTGTGGAGTCCTTAGAGGACTTGGAAAAATCCTTAAATCAAAAGTAACATATTTTGCAAAGTACGAAAGGAGCAAAGTAGGTTGGCACAGGTAGAGGGGTTTGGTACATTGACTGTTCATTTCCAGTTTAAAATTGATTCTGGATATTCTGGTTTTCTACTCTTTCTCCATCCCCTTTTATATAACTTAAGTCAGTTACTTTGACACTTAAACTACTCATATGTGTGCTCATCATTACAAGTTAGTTTTTTAAAACTCTGTATTTTAATTAAGAAAATGATACACACATTTTTGCCACTTCTTTAAAAAAAGATCTTTAAAACCAGAGTATAATTTGTTAATAAATTACATAAGCATACACACATATATGACTTTCAAAAGAAAGGAAATGTAAAGTTAGGAATGTCAGTCATTCTTAGTAGCTGTGTAGTGTCCAAAGTAACACCCACTTCTGAAAGCAGGGATTCCACTAATCTCCAGTGTGTGTGGGTTTGATAGTGCAAAGCCATGCTCAGTTCCTGAGTTTTCCTTAATATGCTTTAGGAAGCAAACCGTGCAGGAACCAATACACCGAGAAAATCATTGCCTGAGGAAGTCAGGCTGTCAGATGTGATATGTTGTTAATTTTTAGCATTCTCAGTTTGTTTGAGAGCTGTTTAAAGTACAAACTTGACCTGCTCTCTGTTTCATCAAAAACTCAAAACGGTTGGTTGGTTATGTAACTGGAATTCTGAACAATATGTTTCATAAACATTGATTTTCTTAAGCACAGAGGATATTAGTAGGCAGGCTTTCAGTGTCTGAAAGCACTGCTCCTTACAATTTTAAGGTTCACAAATGATAGACTACCTTGATATTTGTGCAACTTTGTAGTACAATAAACCTGTTTTCAAAGAATTGCTGTTTCAGTTACAGAAACAAAGCTAGATAGATTTCTATCCATCTTGGTCAATCTTTTCTGATTCCTTTATATTCTAGTTCTAGAAATAGAGCTAAAGCAAACATCCAGAAATGAACACCCCTGAACTTCGGAGAAGTTACATTGAAATGTTTGCATCAGGCAGAGTTAAGAGGGGAATGAAGACTTGAGTTCCCTAATATTTTCTCTGTGAAGTGCTGTACAGTAGAAAGCGCTGCCTATTTTATTACCACACTCCATGTTAATGGTATCTGATCACAGGTGTAGCTAGGCAAATTCCTCATAAACTCAGGCAAATTTAAGGCATAACATTTTTATGGCTGATTTTTCTTGGTTATTCATCAAGTCTTTTATAATCCTGCTCCTAAATCAATCAGTCTGTCTATCTACCTATCTGCTCTTATTTAGTTCGTGTCCACACTGGGCCAAATGTAGCCAATGGAATTACACAGGGATGAATTTGAAGATCTTGATTCCACAATGAGCTCATCATGGGAAGATCACTGTACTCAAATGGAATCCAATTTACTAGTGTTGAAAATCAGCCCAAGCTGACTTAAATGGCATTCTATATGGGAATGAGTGCTGCTTTCAGGAAGCTCATTGCAGGATTGAACACTTGGATTGTAATTATAGAGCAGTTTACTCGTGATTGGTACCTTTGTATAGTAATTTATACATGTGAAGTGTGGATATAAAATCCTACCACATCAGAGTGGTAGTGCTGTCCACCCACTTTGCACTGATGTTAATGACTATCTGTGGAACAAGTCAAAGGAAAATCAGGCCCCTAGTGTTTTTACAACCACTCTGAAAAGTTGTAAAATGATTACATAAGGTGCAAGTAGGGAACAGACCTGCCACCTGTATTTTTGGGTCAAAGGTATTTTTCTTTGCTTTCCCTGTGTTAAAAGTGATACTAGCCCCAGTTCTGATCTCAGCACTACTCAGTTACATCCATAATAGAAATTATATTCTAATCAATGGAGTTACTCTGATGTATATGAGATAAGACTCTGACCTAAAATGTGTGCTCAGAATCTTCTTGTGAAAGTTACTTGTGTGATGAGGGGGCAGGGAAGTCATGAGAAATGAAGATAAAAGGATACATGGAATCACAAACAACTGTTCTGCTCCCTGGTAAATAATCTTATACCTATAGTATAAAAATAACACGTGGCCTCCTTAAAAAGGACAAGGAGCAGTAGGAAATATACAAATTTAAAAGAAGAAAATCCTTTTTCAACTGCAATAGCTGTTAATCCTTTATCATGGCTGTAGCTTCACAACTGGTTGGCAAAACGCATGTCTTCAGTTAGACTTCATTTTACCAAAGATTTGGGACATATTTCATTTAAACTGCCAATCAACTGTCTATCTCTTTCCAGATCTTCTCTGAAAACATATCTTTTGGCCCTTACCCTTTTGTTTTTACTCTTCTTTGGCTGTGATTTATTATTTAACCATGAAAAGTGTTTTGGGACACAGTTTGTATAAAAGGCGCTATGCAGAATAAAGTTAGAGCATATTGCATTTCACATCATGTACAGGCAGTCCCCGACTTACGCGGATCCGACTTATGTCGGATCCGCACTTACGAACGGAGCTTTCTCGCCCCGGAAGTCGGGGCGAGAAAGCCCCGTTCGTAAGCTGCTCCGGTGCCCCTGGTCTGCTGGAGACCGTCTCCAGCAGACCAGGGG